CTTTCTTTTATATTATACATTTTGTGTTACCCCAACATTATATGCAATATATATTTTAGTGCAGTGCGCGAGATTTATTATTTTGCCTTTAAGCTAAACTTCAAAAGCAAAAATTATGGTTTGCAAGGAGTCATTCCAAGCACCGCCAATCCATTGATGATAGAATGACGGGGATTACAGGAAAGAAACATTTACCGGACGATAGTCGACATGTTTACGTTCTGCTGGGCGTTAATCTACGTGTTTTCGTCCTGCTGGACGATAGTCTACGTGTTTACGCTCTCCTGGACGATAGTCTACGTGTTTACGCTCTGCTGGACGATAGTCTGCGTGTTTACGCTCTGCTGGACGGTAGTCTACGTGTTTACGCTCTCCTGGACGATAGTCTACGTGTTTACGTTCTGCTGGACGGTAGTCTACGTGTTTACGTTCTGCTGGACGATAGTCTACGTGTTTACGCTCTGCTGGACGACAGTCTACGTGTTTACGCTCTGCTGGACGACAGTCTACGTGTTTACGCTCTGCTGGACGACAGTCTACGTGTTTACGCTCTGCTGGACGATAGTCTACGTGTTTACGCTCTGCTGGACGATAGTCTACGTGTTTACGCTCTGCTGGACGACAGTCTACGTGTTTACGCTCTGCTGGACGACAGTCTACGTGTTTACGCTCTGCTGGACGATAGTCTACGTGTTTACGCTCTGCTGGACGATAGTCTACGTGTTTACGCTCTGCTGGACGATAGTCTACGTGTTTACGCTCTGCTGGACGATAGTCTACGTGTTTCAATTCGAATTCTATTCAAATGTTTTTTCAGGTAAAAGTACATACATAGAAGATGACTTACAAACATAATGTTGGGTTTATAGATAGACCTAGTACATATAATACCTAATTTATTTATTTATTTATTTATGTATTTATATACAAGGAGGTACATTGGGGGTTAAGAGAGAACATAGGAATGATGTTAATTTTACAATCTTGTAAAGGCACTAGCACGCATAGCATTTCGGGCAAGTCCTTAAACTAACAGATAATTCTAAGTAAATAGTTTACAGTAGAATTAACAACAAATGATTATAGGTACTTTACAGGTATAGGTAATTTTAAGCAGATAAATTACAGTAAAATTTATAAAAAATGTTTACTGGTCAACAAAAATAAAGATTAGAATAATACATAATAATAACAAAACACTATAATGAACAAGGATTTCAAGGCACATTAGGATACATTAGGATAAAATAAAGAGTTTTACATTGGTTCACAGTAGCACAATATGAGGAGCATTTCAAGGAATAATGCAGTAGAATATTGCACTCAATATAACAATCATGATATTAGAAGATACCAAAGATTACAATGGAGGAGTAATATGGCTTAGGTACATGTATTAAGGGATTTGGTAGCACTAGGTACAGTGCGAGTTAAAGCACTAGGTAGGAAACTATGAAGATGAAGTTAGGTACTTTTTGGTTTTATTTTTTAATAAGGCAAAAGATGGACAGCTTTTCAATTCATTAGGGAGTGAGTTCCATAGACTAGGTCCCTTTATTTGCATAGAGTGTTTACACAGATTAAGTTTGACTGGGGATATCAAAGAAATATTTATGTCTGGTCTGGTGAGCATGTGATCTATTACATCTGTTCAGGAAGAGTTTGTTCAGGAAGAGTTTTAGAATAGGGTTTGCACTTAAGAAAAGGGTTTAATAAATGCAATTGACACAAGAGAATGTACGGAGTGAATTTATGTTTAGCATGTTTAGGGATTTAAACAGGGGGAGCTGTGTGTTGTCTGAAAGCAGAGTTTGTTACTGTCCTGATAGCAGATTTTTGCTGGGTGATGATGGGCTTGAGGTAGTTTGCAGAGGTTGAACCCCATGCACAGATACCATACGTAAGATAGGGATAGATAAATGCGTAATAGAGTGAGAGGAGAGCAGAATAGGGCACACAATATCTGATCTTAGAGAATATACCAACTGTTTTAGAAATCTTTTTAGTTGTGTGATGTATGTGGGTGCTGAAGTTGAGTCTCTTATCTAAATATAGGCCAAGGAACTTTCCATCATTTTTATTGCTAATGTCTATCTGAAGCTGAATTGCATTTGTTGATTTGCTTCCAAATAAGATGTAGTAGGTCTTTTCTATGTTTAGTGTGAGTTTGTTGGTTGACATTCACAAGTGGACTTTTTTTTAATTAATTGTTTACAGCATTATTTAATATTATATTAAATATAATGGGGTTGGGGTCAGAGTAGACGAGGTCAGGGTTGGGGTCAGAGTAGGGGTCAGGGTTGGGGTCAGAGTAGATGCGGGTAGTATTATCAGCAAACAATATCGGCTTAAGTATGTTAGAGACATTAGGCAGATCATTGATGTATATAAGAAATAGAAGGGGTCCTAGGATGCTGCCCTGTGGCACCCCTACGGTTAATGGTAGAGTGGGAGAGGTTATATCATTGATGGCTACATATTGGTGTCTGTCACTAAGATAGGATCGGATATAGTTCAGGGCAAGGCTGCGGATTCCATAATGGTGGAGTTTAAGTAAGAGATAGTTATGGTTAACAGATCAAAAGCCTTTCTCAGGTCAATGAAGAGCCCAATCGGAAACTCACTTTTCTCAAGGGCTGAGTAAGGTATGACACTCTAGAGATTTGTTGAACAGCAATAAAGCTCCCATGCCCTTGCATGAGTGATGCAAGGGCATGGGAGGCGCTCTTGTATACCAGAGGTCAATATTAAAATCCCCCGAAATTATTAGATGGTTTTGTTCACTCTGTTAGCTATTATTAGATTTCTAAGGTTAGAGTTGAATTCAGACACATCAGTTTTAGGAATTCTGAAGACTGCTCCCACAGTCAGGACAGCCCCGGCACCCTTGACTCTGAAATGGGCAAAGATATAGTCTCCACGGGAGTCTCTAGTTCTAATTACTTTTAAGCATGTCAGTTGTTGGTGGTAGTAAAGAGCAGTACCACCACCTCTCTGTAATGGTCGACAGTTGTGAATTGGTGAGTAGTTTGGTATGTTAAAGAGTTGTGTAGTATCCTCTTTTAACTACGTTTCAGTAAGCACAACAAAAGGGAGTTTGTAGTCAACTCTTTGAATTAGGGCACTATCATCATCAAAGTGTTTGCTTAGAGATCTTACATTCAAGTTAATTACAGAAACATTGTGATTATGTGAGAAAACGTAGTTTACATCCTGTGCTGTATAATACCTGAAATTTTGATCATTAAATTGATGATTGTCATAGATACTAAATAATAAGAGGTTTACGTCCTGCTGGACGATAGTCTACGTGTTTACGTTCTGCGGGACGATAGTCTACGTGTTTACGTTCTGCTGGACGATAGTCTACGTGTTTACGTTCTGCGGGACGACAGTCTACGTGTTTACGTTCTGCGGGACGACAGTCTACGTGTTTGCGTTCTGCTGGACGATAGTCAACGTGTTTACGTTCTGCTGGACGATAGTCTACGTGTTTACGTTCTGCTGGACGACAGTCTACGTGTTTACGTTCTGCTGGACGATAGTCTACGTGTTTACATTCTGCTGGACGACAGTTTACGTGTTTACATCCTGCTGGACGATAGTCTACGTGTTTACGTTCTGCTGGACGATAGTGTAATTTCCACATTTTCATATAACCAAGCATGCAATTTACATGGCCATCGATCACTAGATTAGAATCCATGTGGATATGGACATTATTTTTACATACCTCGTGTCCGATGTGGTGATGTTTATAGAATATTAGCCACGAGGTCTCTCGCAGCAGCAAAAGAACTGCAGTGTCAACAAAGCCTGGTATCACGTGACGTCACACAGCGTTCAGTTAGTTTAGTTCATTTATTATGCACCCCATACCCATCTTGTGGGCTGTAGTGAAAAGGGTTACAGAAGCACATAATGGGCTCAGGGACTGAACCCCATAATTCATTTAGCTAATCAAGTTACAAAATTTAATGAATAATGTTACACCATTAATGGGCTCGAGACAGATCTCAAGTACACTCTTCAAATTACATTATGTGGAGAGCTAGTGTGATAATTGATATGTTTACAATCGAACAGAGGGTCTTAGTTGACAAGGACTTGAGACCCGCCATATACTGCAGGTATGTTGACGACATTTTTACACAGGTTCCTGATGCCAGATGTCTGCAGCAGCTGAAGGAGGCATTTGAGCAGAATTCTGTGTTGAGTTTCACATACGAGATGGAGAATAATGGGAAGCTGTCCTTTCTGGATATAACAGTCACGGAAAGGAGCGAGGGCTTCCATACTGCAGTCTACACCAAGGAAACAAACATAGGAATGTGCCTCAATGTCAATAGTGACTGCCCAGACGGGTACAAGAGTAGTGTTGTCAATGCTTACGTCGACCGTGCTCTCAGCCACAGCTCAGAATGACAAGAAGTCAATGAAGAACTCTGTAGGGTAAGGCCGGTCCTAGTCAACAACGGCTTCTCTAACGGTTTCGTTGAAGACATCGTAAAAAGAAAGGTAAAACGCCATGTAACCTCTGAAGGTTACATGGCGTTTTTACAATCAACAACCAACCAACACAATTACAACCAACACAACACTTGTACCCCCTATTAGACTATTTTACAGGAACTTCTTTTCGATAGCTCATAAAACAGAGGAAAGGGTACTGAAAGATATTGTTAATAGGAACGTCATCCCTACAGACAAAAATAAAAAAATACAATTGATAATTTATTATAAAACCAAAAAAACGGTCAATCTACTCATGAAAAACTCCCCAGACACCAAGCAGAACGCTTTGAAGGAGACATCGCCTATGCCTTTAAATGCCCGCTTGGGGACTGTAAGCCCCAAAGAACTCGGTATATAGGCAAGACAACAACGTCTCTTTCCAGGCGACTAACAATGCATAAGCTCATGCAAGATCATCATCAATGAAATGGCAATGAAAAAATCCAACATGATACCACAAGAAATGAGGCACAAGTATCTCGAGGAAATTTATAAAGAAGCCAGAGATGAACTAGATCAAATCTACACTGACGGGTCATCTAATCCTATTAATGGCAGGGCTGGTGCAGCATACACGGTAATTAAGGATAATATTTTCCAACGCAGAAATGAAGAAAAAGCACGTATTGAGAACTATGCCTCTTCAACGCAAGCAGAGCTAACTGCCATTGTTATGGCGTTAAGGTTTCTAGAACGGAACACTAATGGTGCAGTGATTTGCACCGACTCAAAAGCAGCACTGCAAAGCCTAAGTAAAAATCAGGCAGAAAATCTTGCAATAGTCGCTGAAATTAAGAGAGCTGTGAGAGTACTTACCAATCAGGGAAGAGTCATCAAGTTTCTGTGGATCCCCTCCCATGTTGGAATATGTGGGAATGAACGAGCAGATGTGCTGGCTGCTGAAGGCGCTGAAGGAGACCATATTGAATACTTCATACCCAAGACTCAACTACAAATTAGAGGTATTATCAGGCAACATCACCGTGACAAGGTAACTGAGGAAAGGAGGATAGAAGCACAAACCAGTGAATCTGTACGATGGTACAACATGGTTGCAGCTGGCAATCCCAATCAGTATGGCCGAAGAGGAGGACGACGAGGGAGGGAATCAGTAATAGCGAGAATCCGTCTTGGATACAAATATCCATGGAGATTTGGAATGGAAACAACAGTTGCAGAATCTGTGGTGAGAGTGATGGACACCGCCTTGACCACTATCTACGTGAATGTGAACACCTGAGAGACATTAGGAATATGTGTAGAATAATAAACCCCACATTGTTTGAGTTAGGAAAACACTATTTGTCAAATATTGATACTGTTCTTAAAAGATTTCCCCATTTTGCACCCGCAAGATAACGTAAGCTTTTAAGGGTTGATAAATGTTAATCTTCTTGTTTGAGGAGCTGTTCACTGGAGACAGTTAAGCAGGTCCCAGCTGTGTCTGGGTACAAGTGACAGGATGAACAACCCAGCGGGTTTTCTTCCTATTGGGGAGTGTTGTACATTCTGCTATGGCGGTATGTTCACTCACAAGATGAGTGGCGCTGCCCAATAAACTCGCCCCTCGGGGCAAAATTTAAATTTAAATATAATCTTTTCTCACAACCAGACCATCACCAGAGAAATCTTAACAAACAACACAGAAATCATCGATAGATACAGCGATAGCAGGCGGTTTGACATCAGCGAGGCACTACACATCAAAAAGTCAACACCAGCAATCAACAGCTAATTAATGCACAACTATATTCTACCCACTTCAAGACCCCGAACCAATATGGAAGCAAGCAGCAAGAGGAAGTATGGGCCAATAGGCTTTCTGCAGTTACTTCCATTCTTATGTTGACATATCCATAATATATATATATATATATATATATATATATATATATATATATATATATATATATATATATATATATATATATATATATATATATATATATATATATATATATATATATATACACATATATATGTTACGAACCCGAGTCCAGCGTCCGAGCATGGAGCAGTGACGACATCGCCATCTGTGAGTCAGCTCCCGAAACCCCCTCCAAATGGACGACGCCATCTAGTGAGGACGAGATATACCGGCCACAGGGGCTGGTTTCCCGTCTTAATCAGCTCGTGACATAGTTGCTGCTGACCTCTGGTGAGGTGGCGCTTAGACAGCAATGCCATCTATGGAGTGCATAGGTGGACGTTTGTGTCTAAGCCTGTAAGTGAGGTGCCCTAGAGTGTCCCTAGTACTAATGATGTGTCTGATTACAGTCGACCTGGGACTGCTGTATTGGACGCTGGGGCAGACTACCCAAGGCAGCCATAGTCTCTCCACGTGTTTGCTGCAGAAGCTGTGAGTCACCCCCGGACGGGCACTGTTGAGTGTGTTAGCCTGCCTGTGACGTGGCAGTACCAGGAATCGTCTTATCTGGGGGCTGGCTGGTGAAGGAGACTAGCCACTGTGGTGCTATAGAGAGGAGGGTGATCAGTGGGATCACACGAGGTTCCTGCCTAGGGCTCGCAACCTTAGTATCGGTCGTGGAGTGGCCTACACAGTGGAGCTGATCGGAACCTGCCAGCTACAGGCTGGATTTGTGGTTGAAGGCCTCCACGACGGTGCACCCAGTGGGACTGTGATTTGGCTGGCCTGTGGCCGGGGTAGACCGCCGAAAGAATCAGAGGATTCATCGTGGGCCACGAAGAAGAGAATCAGGGCTACTCATCGTGAGCACCGTGGAGCATCCCGTCGTCTTCAGAGGAAGACGATTCTGTACATTGTGTATTTATACCCCCCGTGTGACAGTTTATATATTTATTTATGGTGGTGGTGATTATATATACATAAACCAGTGAATTTGTATCCCTTCCCCTTTTATTTAACTTCCGTTATGGAACACACCCCTTGAAAGCCACTACTAACTTGGGGCCGGATACCCAAACTCTAATAACATCAGATTAAGAACCCGGTTGTGACCCAATAGGGCCGTAACAATATATATATATATGTCGTACCTAGTAGCCAGAACGCACTTCTCAGCCTACTATGCAAGGCCAGATTTGCCTAATAAGCCAAGTTTTCATGAATTAATTGTTTTTCGACTACCTAACCTACCTAACCTAACATATATATATATATATATATATATATATATATATATATATATATATATATATATATATATATATATATATATATATATATATATATATATATATATATATATATAATGTTCAGCACGCTGAACATAAGTTAAACAAATGGACCCAGTACGACATCCCTATCCAACTCAAGCAAACCATCAACAGTGAACTATTTAACCTGAAACAACAACATAAAACTCGTGTAGAAACAAAGACACTCCGTAAGTTAACAGCCCTAAACGGTGGACAGCTAAAGATCCCTCGTCCTAAAGATGGCTACATTAACATGACTTCTTATGATCTTACCCAGGACCAACGAGACCTCTTAAATCTTGGTCTAAATTGTCAATTCCTATCTAAACCAAAGATGCATCAAAAACGCCTGGAAATCGAAATGCTTCTGGACGACATCCATAAGCTAGAAGACAACAAAAAAGTCATCACCACTGACACACTTCAAGCTGAACTACTTGCAGAAGCAGGGAAAAAACGAGGAACATATTCATCAACAATCTTAACCCCACGACTCAAAGAAGCAGCAAAACAACTAAAAAATCGGGAAGATGTATCAAGAAAAGCCGACAAGACAGCAGCATATGTGTTGATTCCTACCCAAGAATATATGAAAAAATTAGCGACATCCTTAGTGATGACACTAAATTTCAACGAATCACGAGGAACCCTGTGGAAGACCTCAAAGGCAAAGTGAACAAAACTATTACTGCAATCAACGCAAAGAAAGGTAGTGTTCATTTCACTAAACTCCAAGGCGACTATGGCTTAGAATATGCCTACGGCAATGTTAAGACACATAAACCAGGTAACCCACTACGTCCAATAATCAGCCAAATACCAACTCCAACCTATCACCTGGCAAAAAGACTTAATGAGCTCCTAACTCCATACACTCCAAGCAATTATAGTCTACAATCATCAGAAGATTTCCTCGAATTAATCAAAACTACTCAGCCCGATGGAATTATTGCTTCTCTGGAAGTCGAATCCCTATTTACCAACGTCCCAGTCGACACAACCATAGGAATG